GGCAGCGGCGCGGCCGCCCCCCGGGCCGGCTGGTTCTGCTCGGCTTCCCCCTGTTCCCCTCGGCTTCACCGCCCTGTGAGCTTTGTGGGGTCTTGGCACCGGCCAGAGCCGTCCCCCCCCCCGCCAGCTCTGCCTGCCCCCGCCCGTGTCCCTGGGCGTTGAATAAGCCCGAGAGTCTCCAGGGGAAAAGGGAGGGAACAGCCCTACTGTTTGACCGGCCCTGGGACCCCCGTGGCTCTCCCGGGACAATTCCTTGTGTTGCCAGCACGCTTAGGACACTCCTGGCCAAGCCGCGGCAGGGAGGAAGGCCTTGCTCTCCTGGGGGAAGGATGAGACTGTATCAGCCGCCGTTCTCCCTGAGAAGACGGTGATAAGTGGCTTATGAAAATACCCAAGGCTGTTAATGTTTCAGATTGCAGATAAAAGTATATTGAGTAATTGATTTTTCTGTGACTGCTAATTGTTGGGTTGTAGTTCTTTAGGAATGCACATAACTTTTGCATGATGGTATTAAATTATAAAAAATGTGTAGAGCTCCAAAATAAAGGAAGCAAAACCGCATGGACCTGCTAACATCGGCTGTTGTGTTACATATTCACTTTAAAATGAGTAAGTGTCAAATGTGAATCTGGATTTTACACCTAATTCATTTGTGGTTATGCTGAATAGAAAATTGAGTAGGAAAAAGAGTGGGCAGGATATGTGAAGTAGTATGTTAGGACCACTCTAAACCCTTTAATTCAGGTATCATTTCAGTAACTGTGGTACCTTACTGAAGCGGTCAGCTAGTGAATTGTGATGGAAAGCTAAAACTTCCATCTGAAATTTTTCAGGTGCGTTGGTATAAGACTGGCAAAGACCTAGAGACAATTTTCCTGACAGCCACACTGAGTGAGAAAGTGTTCTTTTTCTGTTTGTGTTCTATCAAATCAAGTTTATCACCCAGTGCTTACCTATTTGAGGGCTCTCAAATGTGCAGCTCCTATTGGAAATAAGAAAGATAAATATATGTAAAAAGTAAAGTATTTTGGTGTAAAAGCTACAGACATTGTACTGTTCTTCTGTAGTTGTTTTTTTCTTTAGAATCAGAGTTAACTGAGTTCTTAATAAAAAAATATTAAGTTCTGAAGACCCAGTCTTTCTAGGTTGTGAGTGAAGAAATCCTTGATCTCTCTTAAAGTAGCAAGGTCTCTTGTTCCACTGACTTCATAAGGCAACATACTTGTTTAGTTTAAAGGACAGATTCTTAAATACTAAGAATTTTCATAGCATTTTGTGAGTTCAGTATATCTGTCATTTTGTCAGCTGATGAGCTTCCCATGCTCTGAGGTGGGTAACTGAAGTTAAGCCTTAGTGTGGTTTAAATAACTAATCTTAATCTGGATTTAAGCAAACATATAAGGGCTTCTAAATTAGCAGAGAGGTGAGAAACTTCAATAATTCATTTTAAACTTTGTTTTAAACATTGTTTTTGTCTATACAGCGATTGCTCTACTTACAGGACAGTGGTCTCAAAGGTATTAAGTTCTCTTAAGCTTGCACAAGCAGAGAATTAAGTGGAAAATTGTAATGTATATTAGCACCAGACTATAGTGGTGGTGGTGAGAGGAAAACTGCAGACCCCAGAAAAGTGGCTGATGCACCTTTTTGGGCACCAGAGAATCATCTCTAAATGTTGGCTGCATGCTTTTTGCCTCAACTTTGAAATAAAGCTCAAACAACTACTTTGTCTGATATAGTCTATTAGTATTACTGGGTTTAGACTATTAAGCATTCTTTTTTTTTTGCTTGCTGTATGTACTTAAATGTTGTCTAAAACCAAAACATAATCTTATACACCAGGGATTTAAAATAGGTTACTATTTGGGCCTGTAACACAGCTCACTATTCTCTTCCCATTTATGTCTTTCCTTCCAGCTTTCCCTCACACAAGTTCTGTTGCATTTCTTAGGCTTTGTTAAAACTTCACTCAAGAAAATTACCAGTTTTGGTTTTGCTTTCTCATCTGACTTTCCACGGTAGTAAATATTCGTACTCTTTTGATGATCAGAAGAAAATAGAGGGCACTTTTGTCACAAAGGCTGCCTGCTTGATACTTCATTGACTTCAGAGGAAGCTTACCAGTCCACTACAATATTTTATAAAATCTAAGTTTGAAAAGGCTAGAATTTTTTCCTGTAGAATGGTTAAAAAAATACGCTGCTAAATGCTATTTTAATATAATAAATTAGAAAAAAATGGGCACCATGTGTTTATTCCACCAGCACAGCTCATCATTAAAGTATTTGTGAGCAATTGGTATTTTTTAGTAGCTTTTACCATGTCTGAATTTGAGAATTAGTGTAGCCTGGTCATGTCACTTTGAATATAGTAATCTTTCAATTAACTAGTTAAAAATATTCAGTAGATGATAAAATTCCTCATTTGCTTTGGTGTTATCAAACAATATTTTTCTTCATTTGTTCAGGAGCAGCCAAGCAGGTAAGGGTAGCAACTCTGCAAATGAGGATAGAAGAAACACAACCTATTTAACTGGGGAGAGATATCTCGTGAAACAATATCCATGTATACTCTAATTACTTTCCTTAGCTTTTTACTTTTTTCTTCAGGGCTACACAAATATTTCGTATTGAACCTAAGTCATCAAGGTGCTCTTCAGGTACTTACTGTTAATCA